AGGGAGGTACTGTACTGACCCAGTCCTTGGCTTCAGTATCAACACCGTGCTTTAACAGCATCTCCACCACCTTGACATGACCCATAATGCAGGCCTCGTGCAGTGGTGTCCAGCCACCCTGTGGGATGATGCATCAGCATGACGTACATGTCCCATAACGTCACCCCCAGTGACATATTCAAAGTGTAAACAATATCACACAACATCATACCACGTACCCAACCTTTGTATTGGGCGGCATCTCGTATACGTTGTGGGTCCCAACTGGTCAACAGCTGCAGCGCCTCTTGTGGATCTGATAAACGACACGCATTGTGCAGCTGCTCTCCATCTTCACTCATGGTAACGGTATCTCTCTCTCTCTATTCACCATCCGCTTCAAACCGCTTTGCTTGCTTTTCTATCCACCATCAATCTCATGAGCCCCCTCCAAGTACAACTCGTCTGACAACCCAGAATTCGGACTGGCGCGCCGTTTCCAAAACGGCAGCCGGTCAGCGGGCTCTTTGCTCTTCTCTGTCTGATGCACCAAACGACTCACCTTTGGCCAGTAGTTCTCGATGACAGTTGCAAGGACAGGTGGACTTGATTGCCCAAGCGCACGTCGTCGACTGCGAGGCGAGATCAGTGGCCTCACTGAAAGCAAAAAAATGGCAGCAGTGCTTTCAACCAAAACGTTCTGGCGTCGCCGCAAGGCCCCGACCAGAAGAGTCCCGTACCAAGCACAAGCAATCAGTCACCACGCACACACAAAGCAAGACACGTCAAGTCAGCTGATATCGAGATCAAGACCGATGCCAAAGAGGGGAAGAAGAAGAAGAAGTCAAAGGCAAATGCCAAAAGCCAAAGAACGAGAAAAATGCGAAGAACACACACACACACACACCTTGTTCTTCTTCTTTTTTAATTATTTTACTTTGGAGAGAAAAAGTCAAAACAACAACAGTCTTACAAGCAAATGGCCGTCAAGCTTGTGTCCGTACCAACGTGGACTGCCCCTTTGCCTGGCATGACAGCTCGCCTGTTACGAGCAGCTTCTAGAGCACCACGAAACTGGGGCTTGTACCGTACAACGTGTACTGCCCCTTTGCCCGACGTGACAACTCTCCTGTTACAAGTGGTTTCAAGAGCACCACGAAACTGGGGCTTGTACGTACAACGTGTACTGCCCCTTTGCCCGACGTGACAGCTCTCCTGTTACAAGTGGTTTCAAAAGCACCGCACAACTGGGGCTTGTACGCACAACGTGTATCGCCCCTTTGCCCGACATGACGTTACAAGCCCGTTGGCTAACTGTCCCTTCAGTCACATCAATCTCATAACCCCGGCCCGGATGCGAGCGACCATTTCTGACGGCGAGCGAGCCGGTTTTAAGCTCATGACAACGCGCGTCCAAGAAAAGTTGGTCGGACGAGTGCGAGGCGCACGCTCAATGACTCTGCTTCATGTCCTTCTTGCTTTTTTTTTTTTTTTTCTTTTTTCACTTGCTCCTGCTTTCTACTACTCGGGCGAGACGGAGTGTCGTGACATCATCATCATCATCATCAGCATGAGCCGTTCAGGCAATCACCGGAGCACCGTGTCGACACCCGTTGGTCTCGCAGAATTTTTGCAATCCTGATTTTCATCGCTGCTTCCAACACACGGTTGAGGTACGCCGTGATACCTCAACGACTCGAGACGCAGTCGAGACGAAACCTTTTTCCAGGGGTTTCGGGGGCGTTTGTCGGGAAGGAGCAAGACATTTTTGCTGTCTGCCGGTCAATTCTACCAGCTGCGGCTGGAACGTATTCACAATGACCAGACCAGGTGCACCGTTGAAATAGCTGCTTAATCGCTCTCGGTTCCAAGGACAGGAAAAGTGCGACGCGTGTCCAAGCGCAGGTATTACAGCAAGAAGAGACGATGGATTAAGCATGGCGGTCTGCCAAGGTACTCGAAACACGCGCAAGGTTGACCTGTGAGCCTTCCCACATTCAAAGGATGTGCGTGGATGTGCAAGTCAAATCAAACTACCTTTGGGTATTCCCAACAAGGAGGCCTTGTGGTGAACGACGCTGGATGTGTGCAAAAGCAGGACAAGTGTCTGGGAGAGCATGGTTTGACTGCACAACATAGGATCCCAACGAAAACATCTAGGCAGCGTAGTAGACGACTAGTTCGGGGTAAATCTGGGCATTGTCGAACATTATCACCTCATGAAACGTTCCTTGCGGTGTAGCAATGACAGAATCAAATCTGCAAGACAACCAAACATGAGTCCCATCAAACTGTGAGACAGGACTCGACGACATTGCATCTTGATTGACATACCGCTCGTTGTTGGGTGCATCGGGCAGCAGCGGGGGAGCCAGCGCCCCGAAAGGAGGCGAAGGATGGGCATAGGCACGGCCCAACAGGGCTCGCGTAATAATGAGCTTGCGCTCGCCGTCGGCTCTAGGCATCGCATATTGGTGACTCTACACCCAGACACACAGCGCCAATAAAGCAATGTGAGGACACGCACGTATCACCCTGCAAACCAACAGTGCACACACAGCTTGCCGGGATGATCGGCCAAGTAAACACAAGTCCATACAGATGGCCTGAGCTGCGACCAGCGAAACGATAGCCAAAGCCCAGGCGCACAACCTTGTCTCGCAGGGATCGCTCGGGCGTGAAGCAACAAGCGCTCTTGACAGCATGTCTCTCGAAGCAAAGCTGGACAGCCCGAGAACGCGTCCGATGTGGTGGTTCCAAGAGTCCATGATAAAGCTTCTTCTTTGTGAGGCGTTGCAGCATCCCCCGATTTGCCTCGGGCGATACGTCTGATCCGTCTCATACATACCTTCTCATTTTGTTATTCCATTCCTCTCACCCTTTTTCTTTCCCTTTCCCCTCTCCTCTCCGCCTCTCATCCATCATTTACCTTCCACCTCCTTCCTCCTTATTTTCCTTCCTGTACCCCTCCCCCTCCCACTTTCACTCACAGTCTTCTCCTCTTCAATCCTTCCATCTCCGACTCCTCTATCCATTACTCCAATA